GGGACGGACTGCGCCTGCGTGGGCCGCGCGGGTGGCTGGTTCGGGGTCGAGAACTTGTGTTTGCGTGGTTGAGGGTTTGCGCGTTCAAGTACACCACCTTGACCTTAGGGCGCTGTGCATGCTTCGTGATGCCAGGGTCCTCCGCACCCTGCTAATTCTTTGTCCTACCACTGGGAAAATAGGAATTGAAATGACTCACCCGACCCTGTGCTAGCGCATTAGGCATAACTCAGGGCCTTGGGTCTGGTCCCCATCGTTGAAAGCCTGGCGTCCTGAAACCGTTGGTTGACAATAATGTTAGCCAGATTTTTCAGTGCTGGGCAGTAAGAATACAACTCTTGCAGAGGGATTTTTATACCAAATGCTAGTTTTCACACCCTCATTGCAATCGAGTTAACTTCGACTCATAGTCACCTATCAGGATTATTTCTGAAATGCAAAGAATTTGGAGTATTGTCTATTCCTATGGACAATAAGGTCTTCTGCATAGAGCGTTTTTCCTAATGCAACAGCCAGACCTTTAGTTAACGGTGTTCTTTGGTTACTGTTATTTGAAGGAATGTTGACTTGTCGATTTTGACCGTTGTTGAAAGCAACCACTGGCTGCTCTGTGTGAGATAGATGGGATTTAAAGCAAAGTCAAATTAGAACAACAACTGGAAGCATAGAAATCATTAAGAAAAACAAGAAAGCATGTTTTCTCCCAAACTGACAGGAAAATCACATACTGGGCCAAGTGAAGTCATGTTTGTTTTGTTGGAGTTTTGAAATAGTATAGAGATCTCTAGTAAGTATTGTGAACATTTCTCAAAAAACTCACTGCCAGGGAGTTAATTCTGACTCTTAACAACCCTTTAGGGCAGGGTAGGATGGCCTCCTGTGGGTTTCTGAGACTAACTCTACAAGAGTGGAAAATCTCATCTTTCTCTGGCAGTGTGCCTAGTGATTTCAGATTATTGACCTTGCAGTTAGCTCAATGTCACCAGGATTCTGTATGAGCAATGTAGGTCATTTAAATTTTAATAGTAGCCACATTAACAAAAATTTAAAAACAAAATTACTTTTGATCACATTTAGTTTAATCTATGGCTGTGTCCAAAATAGTATCATTGCAACATGCAATTTATGTTCATAAAGTGATTGAGAGGTTTTACATTTTTGGTACTATTCAAGATTGGGTGTATATTTTATGCTTTCTGTTTATGTCAATTTGGACTTGTAAATGCTCACTAGTCACAGGTGGTTGCTGGGAAGAGCTGATTTCAACTCAGAGTGCCCGTATGGACCACCGATGAAAACCCTGCCCCGTCCTGTGCCGTCCTCACAGTCACTGCTGTTTGTTTGAGCCCATTGTTGCATTGTCAGTCCATCTCTTTGAGGGTCTTCTTTTTGGTCGAGATTCTACATTACAAAGCGTCATGTCTTTCTCCAGGGACTGGTCCCTCTTGATAATGTTCAAAGTAGGTGAGGCAAGGTCTTGCTACCCTTGCTTCTGAAGGAAGGTACTAGGTACTAGAGG